ACGGAATAGTCAGCTCAATGTCGACAAGAGCGCTGACGCTGTGACCTTCGACGGGGACGTCAAGATCACTTGTTCGTCGTCTTGCTTTGCGGTTGGTTGTCGGCGTCGCACCGTGGCTACGTCGGTTTATTCCACTGATTCCACGTTCCGTCATCAGGTCTTCTTCTGGCCACGAAGTCTCGACGTCGGAGGTGCGTTCGTGGTAAGGCAGGTTTTTTATGTTTCGTCGCGTCGTCGTCGTCAGTGGCGGTGACGGAAGATCTTCGGTAGTTCGTCGCACAACAACCGCACCTCCTTCAGTTGCTGCCCTTACGTTTCTGAGTAAGGGCTTGGAGATCGTCACCGAAAATGGCTGGTGTACTGGCTGTGGTGTGGTGATCTATAGCGGCCTGGCGAAGGCGATGAGAAAGATTGTCAGGGCGTCTCTTTGCGCTCCTGCGAGGTAGTCGGTGATGTCATGTCGTCTCCAGCCGAGCTGAGGATGCGGCGCTTTGACGGTGAGTCTACGCAAGTTCATTTGGCGGCTACTGGCAGCGATGGTAGGTGTAGCCTGCTTCCCCGCAGTGGCAGCATAGCGGGCGGATGTCAGGGGCACGCCAAACACCGGTTTTTCTTGGCGCACTGCGCTTTCAAGCAGGCGAATGGTACGGCTGTGGCGGCAGCGATGGCGACGTGGTGGCGGTAATGCGGTTGTGCGGCGTCATGGCATTGTCGCGGAGGTGGAACGGAATGACCCGACTGCAGCAGCGTAGCTCATGGCTTCCTCCCAAGGCTGCGGTGTTTCGGAAACTCCATGCAATCACCGAGTTTCTTCTCGGACAATAGAGGCGATCTAGTGTACTTGGAGCTGCGACGAAGGCAACGCTTCCGTAGCTCTTCCTGTACGATATGTCGAATTGTTTCACATATGTCTTCGGAGCCGAGGGTGTGAATAGCTGCGTTGTCTTGCATCGTTCGGTGATTGTACTGCGGGTGCACATTTCGGCCATCTTCTCGAACGTCGTAGTCTCTAGACAAACTGCTGAACGGTTAGGGTAGGTGCCGCACCAGCCCAATGAAGAGGTCTTGCTTAACTCCTCGCATGAGCAAACGGACCTTCTTTGACTCGGTCTTGTCAGGGTCGGTGTGGCGGAACAGACTGGTCATCTCCTCCGCAAATATTGTGACGCTTTCGTTTGAAAACTGCGCCAGTGAAGCTATTCCCTTTCTGACGACGCTTACAAACACGACAAGAAAGCTGGTCCAGAAGATGTCCCATGTTGTCATGGTGGACTCCCTATTCTTGAACCACGTGTTCGCTGCGTCCTCCGAATAGAGCTGGACGCGACGCAGCTTCTCTTCTGAGTCCACTGGTTGAAGGCGGTCACTCAGTCTTACATCTCCAGCCATGTATCCCGGTCCTAAAGTGATAATCCACGGAAGGCCGGTGGCTTTCTTAGCTGCTGCATTACGACCGTTGTGAGCGTTAACACGGGGTCTGTCATAGTTGTAGCAGTAGAGGTCGTGGCCTTTGGTTTACGAGTCTGATCGGGTAAAGCACCGTGCTCTTCATGTAGCCCATGTGGCCTGCGGCTAGCTTGCTGATCGAGGTTGGCGTCGACGTAACCTTGACGGTGTGGACTTGACTCACGGCTGGAAGACGCCGTTCGGTACATGGGCTGGACAGCACCTACCCCAGATATCACGTTTTCGTGCCGTGAATGAAGGAAGCGCACTGGATGTTCAGGTCAAACTGTTTATTTGGCCGAACTTGTAGCTGGTAAATGAAAAGTCAGATTACAGGACCACACTAGCACTGACAGCGGCGCACAGAGCATCGGCCAATGATAAAATGACAAGCGGTGAAGCACGTCGGCATTAACACTTTTGTCGTCGGAATGTCTCAGCCTTATCACTGGTTGTTGCCCGTGATGTGGAACAATATCGAGTGTTCGCGTCTTGCGTGCAATCTTAACAGCACTATTCACAATAATCTCGTCTTGCGTGCAATTTTAACAGAGCGATTCACAATAATTGCCCTCACAATAATGGGCCCTCCAGAACAACCAGGTGCAGCCTGCGTTAAGCATCCCAGACGGGCTTTGTGGGCGAAAAAATAATGAAACATAAGTGAAAATAAGGATTGCGCGTATAAATATGCTACCTTTCTGAAGGTTGTGCATACACTACATCTGGTATAGCGATAGGCTCGGATGGCTGCATTGTAAAGTGTGGAGTTGAACAATTTTAGCGAGTGTAGAGTACTTCACGCGCATTTGTCGCATTTTTTCGATCTAAAAGCGTTTATATGCTTCAAGTTGAGTAAGCGCAAGAATGCTGTGTTTAAATTGAACGCTTAGAGTCTTACGGTATAGTATTCCGGGTCTCGATGTCTTCGAATGCATTACCCCACGGAAAATTCTAAACAGGTTTTTTTGCCTCTTGGCGACAAAATGTATGCTGAAGGAAGTGTGACCCGACAACAGCCGTGGCACAAAACTTTCTCTCAGAGGACACACCCGCCTAAGCAAGTGATGTAACTTTTTTAATTCTCGTAACTTCGAGCATCCTTACGCCTGGCGGCGAGTTTTTTGTCCGTACATATGTGAGTGCATTACATCTGCAACCTTCTTTATGCCGCAGAATTGTGTGCGGTTGACAATGTCGAGTCACGCCCATAACTTCAACATCAAATAGCTCCCAACATCAATGCATCCTGCATTTGCTTTTCCCCCCAAGGTGCCTTGAACACTAAAATCTCACAACTAAACGACAATATGTGATCAGAGTTTTTGCCACATCTTGGGTGTTGGCAACCTTGCTTGGGTGTTGGCTGCTTCGTTGAAACATTCCACGAGATGTTTCCCTGACCGAAATGTTTTTGGTGAGTTCGAGTAAGTTACTGCATGACACTGGCAGGACAGACTATATATACGAAAAATGCTAGAAAGGGCAAAATGAAGGCTTGCGATAAAAAATACTTGAACAGGAGTTGTATCGAAACGTGGACTTGATACAACCCCTGTTCACGATTTTTTAATATATATGCCACACAGGGCACATTCGCTATTTCGCCAAGGCAGAAAGAGTGGAAGCAACCCTGCAAGAGAATGGAAGGTGAGTGGGAGGAAGATAACCACTGCTCACCACAAATCTTCCAAAGCAAAAATGTTATGCATTCCTGCAATAACGCCAAATTTTTCAATCAATGATGTTTTACGCACCCGGTACCTATATACGCAAAGTCACGTAACTCAGCTCTTCTGGGCACCCCGCCGTGGTGGTCTTGTGGCTAAGGTACTCGGCTGTTGACCCGCAAGTTGCGGGATCCAATCCCAGCTGCAGCAGCTGCATTCCTGATGGAGGCGGAAATGTAGGCCCGTGTGCTCAGATTTGGGTGCACGTTAAAACACACCAGGTGGTCGAAATTTCCTGAGCCCTCCACAACAGCGTCTCTCATAATCATATGGTGGTTTCGGGACATTAAACCCCACTCATCATCAATCAGCTCTTCTGGTTGCGTGTCGTCGTCACTTTTTGGTCCTCTCTGGGAGCGCGGTTCCGTAATCGTCTCACGTCCAAGTGGCACCATGCCAGGGAGGCCGATCAAAACAGTAGTAAAACTGGAAAGGCTTTGACTCATCGAATAAAAAAAAAAACAGATAACCATTCGAGTGCATGAGACACCAGTGGGTGTGTTGTATCTTTGGGCTTTGTAATGCACTATCGTCGATTATGTTTCACGCATAAAATGCAACTCTTTTTCCTAAGTGAGCTTATTAGAGTAATTTTCAAATGAAGTTACCGAACTTGAAAAAAGTTGCAACATTGCTTGAAAGGCAAAGCAATGAACTTGATAGGAACAAACTGGAAGGTCACGCGCACAATGTTAAGCAAATCGAAATATTCCCCATGTTTCTCACGCACAAATGACGCATGAAACGTACTCACAGATACAGATGAACGCGAATAAGCATCTCAGTTGTTACTTCGCCCTGTCTGGCAAGCGCGCCCTTTTAGTAAACGCAGAATGTGCAACAATTGTCATGACCTTTGTGCGCCCGGTAACTACAACGAAATACGTAGGAGAGTGCGATCCTCCCCACAGTGATTAAGGGCGCGCGATCGAGCGTACACCCCCTTATTCTCTACGCGGGAAAAATTAGGCGTGAGAGATGAGAGCCACCATGAGCTCAATGCGCTATCTTGCTGATAATGCTCAAAACACGATAGTTCCCTTCCGCCCCCCCTCCCGAGATTACCGCCCACAGCGGCAACTGATAGATATAAATAGCTTGCCATTTTAACGTCGAAGAAGGTATACCCCTCGGTGGCTCAGTGGTTAACGCCTCGCATTCATGACGTGGAGGTCCCACGTTCGGTTCCACGCTACGAAGACTTTTTTATGGATTTTCTGTTCTTTCTTACAATTATATATATATATATATATATATATATATATATATATGTATATATATATATATATATATATATATATATATATATATATATATATATATATATATATGGTCAGGGGGGGGGGCAAGTTTAAAACCCCTCTTTAATGTTTACACATCGTAAAACTCGTGTAGGTGGGACATTGTCGCGATATTATTTCGTACATATATAACGGCAGTGGAATTTTACTGGTAACCCGAACATCTCTTGAGCAGGGAGTCTTTGACCGACAGGTGGTCACGGTATTCTGCTTGCAATTGCGGTTTCACTCTCACTTAAGCCTGGCCGCGATCAAACGGAAACACGATTTGCTTAGCGCATTTAAAGACAGTGTCTGACGACTATTCTTCTCACTAAATTTGAATGGAAGTGCTCTTTGTCGCGTCCCCCCATTCAGTTTCACGCTTAGTTATGTGGACATATCCCTATACTAAGGCCGAAAATTTACCTTGCTGAACCGATGAAAACTTTTTGTAAGCTTTCCGCAGCAGCATGCAGTATGATTCGTCAGTTTTTAGCTTTTATATGGAGGAAACTAACTCATATGATTGTTTTTACTGCAGGTTGCTGAAAAACGAATCGAACAAGTGTGCCACCCGTTTCAAGATCGACAGTTCGGTGTGCTCCCAGGTCGACGGGAGTGCAATGAAAAAACTGATCCACACTGTCATCGGACGCATAGTGCCAGAGTACAACGCTGCCCCTCAAGCCTGTTCGAGCGCAGCAGCTCTTATGTCTTTTCTCCTGGCTCTGGTCTTCACCATTTGAAACTAGAGCCCTTGCCTCATATAAAGGAGTTTAAATTAATTTGTGAACCACCAGCGAGTCTCACTTTCCTATCACTTCAGGCTTTGGCTACGCTCTATTACAGAATTTATTTTAACTTCAAATAAAGCTCATTCATGTGAACGTAGTGACGTTTGTTCGAACCAAATATTAAGACAGAATCAAAAGTTGGGCTAGTTGGACATGCATGGTATAACATGCATACTTGTTTGTCCTCATGCATGGTATAACATGCATGTCCGTTTGTCCTCTCTTCCTTTCTGTTTATTCGTGCACTTGAACTGACAGTTATACCATATATTAAGGCTGATTCTTTTTGTGTGCCTTGACATTTCACCACTGCATTGTTTTTGCAGGTGAAGTGAAAAGCTGCTTCTCGGGCGTTTACTTTGTCACGTACGCTATACTGTGAACGTCGTTTGTAATATTACTATCCATCGTAAGTAGTCTTACGGAGTGTAGCTGGTAAGTGTAATTTATTGGCATTTACCGCAACTCCTTACAAAAGAGGTGCTTTACTAGCGCCAAGAAATCATTGTTATAGTGTACAATGGCGGATAGTAGTATGGTATTGTCACGAGGCTGTTTAATGGGAAAGCTCTCGTGTAGGTTCGTGTAAAGCAAAAACCACCGAGGATTCAACCATCATCGAGAAATGAGCCGACGAGACCATTTGTTTCCACCAAATCCCTGATTCATTTCAGAAACCACTAAAAGACAAATAACAAAGTACAGAGTAGGCATACTAGAAAGAGTTTAGCAGGAAGAACGAACGGCTAAATACGAGAACAGTGCACGGAAATAAATGTTCAATGGAAAATAACCCTTATCGCAACATAGCGAGACGTGGTGCTTGCAGCAGAGGCTCTGCTACCAAGGCATGAACGCACTCACGTAAATGGTGACAGCGGTGATGCGGGGCTTGCAACTGATGCGACGGAGTAATGGTGAAGACGCACTCGTGCAGCAGGGGAAGACTGGCGATTAGGTTGAGACGCTCACGTCGTTGACTGCACGGAAGGAAGCGTCGGGCTGGTCGAGGTCAGTGACATTTCGGCATTCGGCAGCCGCAGCTTGCCCACGAAGCCGGACGCATTTCATGGCCAACGCCAGAAGACCAGAACAAGCCTGGCCCACGTCAGGCGACGAGAAGAAGCTCTGTGTCCAGGTGGAAGCCCGCTGGGACCTTGATGCAGGGAGCTCTGCTGGCCGCTACTCCCACATCCTAGCCACCTTCTTCACTCCGTCCCGACTCAGCCACACCTGCCTGGCTTCGCTGTTTTAGGGGCGAAGCTCCTTATAGCGGCACCCGTTCGTCCATCGAAGCCGTAGTAGTAGTGTGTAACAAGTATAACATTTTGACCTCCAAGGTGGTGCCGGTGAGAGATTTCTTCTGTGCGTTGTTGAAAAATAAAAAATAGTGCTCAGTGTACATGCCAATGGCTGCTAAGGGGAAATAGGAGACAGGAGAATTCGGCTTTTAGTTAACGCGCATGCTGCGAACTTTTTATTGTTCGACAACTGCACAGAAGACAAGAAAGGGTTGTTACGTTATACTCGCTGGGCGTAACCTCTTAGGTTTTAGAAAGATTTAGCGAGCGTTGGGCCGCAGTGCAATGAATACAGTGAATTAGTATATACAATGAACTCGAGGTGGTTGAAGTTGGGAAGCAGAAACGAGGCGCAAGCGGTAAGAAAGTGTGCGTGTGCCTCCTCTGGTTCAGTCCTTGGAAAGCTCGCTGGATGGCGGGGCTCTATTTGAGGAATATAATGAAAAGATGCGAGATGGTGGCACTTGGTGTGTTGAATAGGTGGACAAACGAACCTGCAGACAGATGCATGGACGGACGCACGAATGGCTGATCGGCGGATGGACGCATGGACGGACGCAGGAGCGGATGCACGGGCGAAAGCAGGGGGGATGCACAGATGAACGTGCGGACACACGAACAGACGCACGCACGGACGTGCGGATGGACGCACGGGTGGCCGGTCGCACAGACACACGCATGGATGGACGGAAGCAAGAACAAATGGACGGACGGATGCTTCGCCCCACTATCCATCATTCACTTCGTGGATATGCTTCCATTTTTTCTTCTCATGTGGCTCTCCTAAATCTCCGTAGAGGCACCTTATTGGCCTAAAATGCTACGTGCCGCAACCGAGCGTCACCTTCATCGCCGCTCTTTGGTTCAGGCTGATGGCGTGGCACCCTTTTCAAACGCACACAGTCACATCACAGGTATATAAGTGGGTGAGAAGAGAACTTACTGACGCGTTCTTTATCTATAACAAGGGCGATGATTGTATATCTGGACCATCTGTTTGTCTGCTAGATTGCGAAGTAAACAAGCTCGAGCATTTTATGACGCCACCTAAGTTTCCTGCGCATGCGTTTGCTGGTTTTCATTTGTTTCATTATATTATTCAAATTCAGTTGTCACGCATCACTCGTAATGTTCTCTTCAATTCTTGTGCTTCGTCTTGTGTGCGCTCATTTTTTCACAACATGCACAGAGGATAGTGCTTTCCAAAGTTGCCTTTCTAGCTCACATCAACTTGTGGGCCTTAAGTCACGAAAGTTTTTTCTCTCGCAATGGCCGGGACAGTAAAAGGGAGGGGCAGCTTGTCAGAATAAAAGATTACGCTCTGGTGGAAATAAAATCATTGTGAATTAAAGTGAGAGGTTTAAGCGCCCTTTCCGCAATCTCACAAAGAATATTATTTTGAAATTATTTTTAAAACTTACACAAACTAGTGGTCGTGCCGCCTGATGGATATTAAGACGATCGAGACCAGGGACTGCTTCGAAACGAATACGGTTTATTGAAGAAAGTGAAGTAGCGCGCGCCTCGCTCTAGGCAGCAGTCTTCTTTCTTCTTCTTCCGGCGTTTGATGATGATATTTTATAGGCTCCCGCCCGCCCAAGTTGAAATGTGATGAGCTCTCGCGGGCTATGTGAAACAACCTTCCATAGGGTATATGTAGTTCACCGATCATTCTTAGAACCTCTTTTTTGCCTGTGCGAAGGAGACAAGCTCTTGTTATTGCGTCTCGCCGAGGGTAGAGTTTTCCAATCCGGCACATTTTCCAAAATGTTCTTGGAGCCTTGTACTCAACCAACACGATGTCACCCTGTGAGAGTGGTTTTGATTTCCACGTCCTTGGCTTTGACCGTAGCTCCTATTTCCTTGATGTATTCTTGATGCCATCTTTTCCACCAAGCGCGCACGAGTTTGCATCTGCGTCGCCATGCGTCTTCGATGTCACCGTTGTACAGCCTTGTTTGTCCGTCTTGAAGCTGTCACCGTCCGTATGATGAATACCTTCCAATTTCCAAGATTGGCTTAATTTCAGCTCTTCCCATGCATTGGTGACATTGTGTTTTATGCCGGTCTTCCACGTCTGTATCTGTGCCAATTATGCTTACTAAGTTCTTTTTCAGTGATGTTATCCATTCGGGACCGTTCCACCATAACTTTTACGTTATCAATGCCTTTGCGCTTATTCTTCGTGTAAGTAGGTCAGCAGGGTTGTCGTCACTTTGAACGAATGACCAGCTTGCTTGAAGTGTTTTCTCTCTAAATACTGCGATTCTGTTGCCAACAAACGAATCCTTTTGCTTGTTCCCTTGATGCAGTGAAGCACAATCATCGAGTCCGTCCAGCGGTGTATTTCCTGAATTCTTTCGTTGAAGTGACCTTTGATGTAGTCGCATAATCTTGATGCTACCACCGCTGCCATCAGTTCATGTCGCGCCAATGTCAGCTCTTTATTTGGAGCTACGCGGCTTTTTGCTGTTACCAGCCTTTATTCTTTGCTTCCATCGTGGTATACTGCTATCAAGTATGCTGCCGCTCCGTATGCTAATGGGCTCGCGTCAGCAAATACATGCACCTTGTATGCCTGTACTGGTTGATTCTTGCTTGCGTAGCATCGTGGACTTTTTAGAACTCGAAAGTCCTCCGCTTCATGCATAAGTTTCTTTCATTTGTCGCATTCATCTTTAGGGAGCTGGTCGCCCCACGTGACGTTCGTTTTCCACAGTCTCTGCAGTCCTATTTTCGCGCGTACTGTGAATGGCGACAACAAACCGAGTGGGTCAAATATCTTTGCTGTGGTTTGTAACACAGCCCCTTTTGCAAGTACGTTGTATCTGTAATAAATTCCACTTTTCTATAGGGAAGCAAATCATGTCCTTTGAGTGTTTCCATATCAAGCCCAGAAGCATTGCAAATCCTCTAGATCGAATATCTATGTGAGAATCGTCCCTTTCGTTTTCATCAATTATTTTGTTTAATCGCTCTTCATTGGATGTCCGTTTTCTCAAATTCATCGCTGCCTCTCAACACTTGCTTTGCCTCTTTGTACAACTTGACTGCTTCATCAAGCGTTGCTGCTCCCAAAATGACATCATTCACGTAGATCGCTTTCTGCAGTGTCCTTGTCGTATCAGGAAACTGGTATTACACTCTCTCAAATAGTGTTTAATTGTAGCTGCCAGTATAAACGTGCTTGGTGTTGTTCCGAGCGTTACTTTTGTCATGCGCCATGTTTGCACTTCATTCATTAACCTTCCTTCAGCGTCATGCTTCCACCACAGAAATCTCAATGCATCTCTATCCTCTTCATGTATAGAGATTTGTAGAAATGCCTTTTCAGCATCTCCAACTAATGCCACCTTTTCTTTTCGGAAATTAATGAGCAGCGATAGCACGTCTTCACTCATATTGGGTCCTGCCTCTAGGTTCTCGTTTAAAGACATGCCTTTTCAAGAATGCGATGAGGCGTCAAACACTGCTCGGACCTTTCTTGTGGCTTAGTCCTTTCTAATGATCGCATGATGTGGCATGTAGTAGCAAAGTGCATTTGGCTATTCTGATGGCTCTTGGACCCCCTCTGTGACTCCTAATGCCATATACTCTGATATAGCTTTGTCGTAGCGATACAGCATGTCTTCAATTTTTCGCAGCCTTTTAGTGAGTTGCTGTAGTCTTTTATTGCATTTACCTTGTTGCTTTCCAAGTTTACGTCCTGTTTCCATGGCAAGCTGACTTGATAGCGACCGTTTTGTTGTACAATCTTGCGCTCGAATTCTTCGACCACTTCATTTCCGGTGT